TTTTTTTTTTTTTTTGAAAACCAAAAGGACAGTGTCCTGACCAAAGGGGTTTGGGATGTCTCCCGGCCCCTGCAGCACAGAGTCTATTAGCATGTCTGCCTGGATCTCTGGGCCTTCAAAATGATCCAGATCACAAATTACCAATTAACAAGTGTCAGATATTAACAGGAAGAGAAAGACACAGAAGCAAAACAAAAAGAGCAAGTACTCACTGATTGGTTTATAAAGTTTAGGAGTCTTTTAGGGGTAACATCGATCTATAGCAAGCATCTCATAATTAGCATTTAAACCTTTCTGTGTCCTATTTAATTTGGGGGTTTTGTTTGTTTGTTTGTTTTACATTTTTTTCCAAATTCAGTCTCTACAAAAAGAAATTGCCCCCACCAGGCAAGCTTTAGCTATTTGTTTTCAATTAAAAGGGGGTAAAGCATCAGTTGTCACAGAATCAAGCATTGCTAAAGTAAAAGGGGCTGTTGGTCCATATTGGGCGCAAGCCATTTTCAATTCTTTCAATTGTTTAAAAGGAATTGGAGCATGTTGACCAATGGGACTTTCCCAAGCATCTCAAGCATCAAAGACTGGGCTGATAAGGGAAACTCCAGATAAATTTTTCTCAATATTTAAAGCTTGTTGTAACCCTTGTTGAACAGGGGACAAAAAAGGTTGAGAATTGATCCTAATAAGTTTTTTAACTTTTACAGGGCCCTGAAGCTAGAGCAATTAAAGAGGGCTTTCCCTCCCTCTCTGTCTCCGTCTCTGTGCGTGTGTGTGTGTGTGTGTGTGTGTGTGTGTGTGTGATCTAAACTATCTCAGATGAGATAAAACTAAAACTAAAAGTATCCATGGGTACCTTGCTAGATACGAGTGTAGCATAATAATCCTGTAATCATTTTCCTACCTTCCTCCAAGTATCTAGGTTTACAGTGCCTTCTTCAGGGAACCAGGGACAAACCATTTCAACAAGTTCTAAAAAACTACACAATTGCTGGTGCCCTACTCTAGCACCACTGACATGCAATAAATCTTTAAGCATATGTACAAAAAGCATGCAACTATTGCCAGCTCCCATTTTTAATATTTACAAGAAAATTCACCACTCCTTACCTTTTCATTGAGGCCTCGTTCTTCTCTGTGGTGTCCTTCACTGGATCCCTCGATACTCAGGTCCCGGTTCCAGCACCACTTGTGGCAGTCCTGCCGTCACATCACGAACATGCCTGAGTTGGGAAGTGAGGATGGAGAAAGGAAAGAATGCTCAAACCTGAGTGGAAACCAAGAGAAGTCTGATTTATTTCACAGAAACAGCTCCTTTTAAAGGCGCATCAACAGGAAGCACCTGACTCCTACAGATAACATCAGCTCTTTGGCTATCTCTTTGAGTTTCTCCCTCCCATCAAAGGGTCAAAAACAAGTTTAACACAGTGGAGTCCTTGAAAAGGGACAAATTTTAACAAATGTTAATTAGGAACATCCTGACCACACATTGTGTCAATGCCTTAATTGTAGAGAAAGAAGTTATCTTTCAAATGTCAAAACATCAGTGGTCCATGACTGGCCCCCACACATGCTTTTCTACCAGAAGCCATGTCACCCTCACCCCTCAGCAGAGGTTTGCAGTAGTATGCAATAAACAGTGCAGGGATTGGAAAACTGAGTTCTTGGCTGGTGGAGGAACTGCTGCCCAGTGTCCTAAATAAAGCCTGGCCTGGTTTCTGCATTTGTGGCAGACTCAACAATAACTGCTCTCTTTCAAGAGCTGCTGAAGATCTTCAAATACTGAGTCAGAGATCATTTAGCAACACAAAGGCGCTCTTTTGAAACCTAAGTCTAATTTAAATGAATGTTGTATGGCCTATTTGTTCATTGGAAGGAGATCCTATTTGTTCATTGGGAGGAGATCCTATTTGTTCATTGGGAGGAGATCGGAAGTCAGGCATTGTAAAAGGAATCTCCCACCAGAACTATGAATCTATTCTTGGAGCAGCATTCTCTCCTAACACCACCTGGGAAAAATCTGCCGAAGCCACCCCTGCAAAAAGGCTGAAAATGATAGCCCACTTTCTAATCTTTCTCCCTTGGAAGCTCTAGAGCAATGCCAGTCTTCACCGGAGACACATCAGTCCACAGACCAGGAGTCCAGAAAAGATGAGCAGTGATGGCTCTTTGGATGGTTTGAATAACATCTGCTGAAAATGGAAAGTAGCTGAGATGTACATAAGAAATACCATCAGTGTTTCCCAGCAAAAGACCTTTTCCGTTATGACTTTCCTTCAGCATTTCCGCAATCACTTTTACTTTGGTCCATATGAGTCAAGAAGAAATAAAACAGACAAAAATTTGAAAGATACTATCTAGAGTTAGATATATGAGATTTGGGCAGGACCCATCCACATATAAAATCTGCACTGTGCTCCTCCTCTGAGCTTTGTTCCCTGTGTACCTCAGAAACTTGCCCAAAGTGGTCAAGGAGAGTGACAAGCATGGACAGTTGGAGAAAACCCCTCAAAATCAGGAATCTTGGTCTAGAACAAAGCCTGGTACTTAATAAATGCTTATTAAATATTTATTAAGTTACAAAATAACAAAAGTGAAGGCAACTCAAATATCAATCCATAAGGGATGGTTAAATGAATTGAGGTGTACCAAGACTAAGCTGCGAGGTTAATTATAAGACATTTGCTAACATGTAAGATACTGACACAGGCAAAGTAACGTACTACATTACTGTATTTTTTCTGGAATGAAAAGAACAAAGGCTGTTAGAGAGACAGAGACAGATGAAGGCTAAAGAAGGTTTGGGAGAACACACATGAAACTGTAAGCAGTTTCTAGGGGGCTGAACAAGTGAAAAAGGCTTAAGGAAATGAAGACTTCCACTATTTATATTCTTTTGTTGTGTTTGAATTTGAACAATGACTGTCTTAATTTTGTAACAAAGAAAAGTAAAACATGAACACCAAAGGGAATAGCCATTGCCTATCGCCTTATAAATGGATCTCAGCTGCACAAGCTTCCAATTCTCTAAAATTATGTCCTTCCTTTGGCATTGGTCTGTCTCTCTGGAATGCCTAGGGTTTCAGGTTTGCATGTGCAGCCACACAGGCCTCCAGGCTGGAGGGGGAGGTTTTCTAAACACAAAGCTGAGCCTTAGCCCATCACGTGTCAAAAAGCATCAGAAACTAAATTACAGTGCTACCGCTGGTCACAAGTTAATTCTTTCTATGATTCTGGGGAAGATGGCCACAGTCTTGTTCATCAACTGATGCAGAGTTTGAGAACAGAACTGCTGCAAACAGAGTTGCTGAACAATTCTGTTTGCCAACCAAATTGTTCTCGAACAGAAGCCTTCAGGAACCAAGGTATTGTTGTTATTTACCTAAAATAATAGAGCATAACATAGGTTACCTGTTATTCAAGCTTTATGATAAAGTCCTGGGATAGGGGAAACCACCAATAGTTCCATAATAAATATATTGAGTGCACTGAGTAGGGGCTTTCCAATATTCCAATAAATATCTTAAATCCAGTAAGTAGTGGTTCCAACATTGATGCTCATCAGAAAAACCCATCCCTAAAGACTCCTATGGTTGTCACATGCCTGGATAAAATTTTTCATGTACACTTACATTTTTGATGTGATTTAGATTAGTGAGATCACTAGATAGCCTAAATTCACCAAATTGGAAAGCTGAACAATACTGAAGACTAATTAGTCATGTTCTGGTAATAGCATATGAATCAAAAAAACAGCAGCAAATGAGTGGAAGCCACAGTGGAGAAAAAAAGTCACATTTGTAGGCCTAAACTTCAGTTAAAATGTTTTAGAGAAGATTCCAGAAAATATTTTAATTAAATACTAATTTCACAGTCTTGGTGTATATTGGAGATGTAGATCATTGACTGCTTAGAAATTCATAATTCAGTCTTTAACATTTAGAAATGATAGTGACAATAAGATTCTTCTATTCTGTCTTTACATAAAACTGGAACATGAAAGACATTAACATACAGGTCTATTTGGTAATCAAGTGAAAAAATGCTATTGATAGCGACTAGAAGAACCTAATGGAAAAACAGCCTGTGCTATCTTCTAGGAGGTCACAGCTGGAGAGCTGCCCCAAAGCCCTTCCTGTCCACATTGCCTACAAGCAACCTCTGTGGCACAGGTTGAACTGGCCAGGAGGAAAAGCAGAAGAGAGCTTCTGACTCAAGGCAAATAATACAAGAGCAGATGGGCTCTGTCTTCCCATATGTCTACTTGCCTAGAAGCAGGTTCTTGGAACCAGGGATTCTTAGGATCCCAGCTGGGAAGGAGGCCCAAAAGCTTTGTTGGCCCCTTTCCTCACAAAACTCCTAACATTTCTTTGACTTGCAAGGGATATAACAATTCAAGAAAATAGGGGTATGAGAGAAGATGAAAGAAAACTCTTGAGAGGACCCTAGAGTATCTCATGGACAGAAGGATCCAGGCCAGGTGTATAGCTAGAGGAGCTGGAAACCTACCCTTTAAATGTCTGTCATTAAGATAACCTAGTCCCTGTAATATTGCAATGCAATTCTGTTACTAACCATCCAGAGTCAGCACAGAGTCCATAAGATAAGGCTTTTAGTCCTAGACAAGATTGCCTCACTTCAAATGGTAGTCACAAAATCAGGTGTTCCAGTTCACCTGTACTTCTGACCATTCAACTACAAATTTGTAGTGCATGATGACCCCAGGTTCAATAGGCCATTAGAATAACTTATAGAACTTTGGAAAACACTCTACTTACAACTGAAGTGCTAGTACAAACCAGACAAGTCAGGCCCAGTCAAATAAGGAGATCTATAAGGTAAAGCCTGGAAGGTCTCAAATGCAGAGCTCTGTGTCCTCCTGGAATCAAGACTTCTCACCCTCTCATCATATCATTGTGCTCACTAACTATAAAAGCCACCCAAACCTCAGAGTTTTTATTGGAGTTTTGTCTTGTAGGCAAAATTACTGAGCCATTATCCATGTGATGCAATTCAGTCTCCATTGCCTATCCCCCCACTAGAAGTCAGGCTAATATCAACTGGTTTAAAGCCCCGGTGAGCCAGGTTGGCCCTGCTCTAGTCGTATGGCTGGCCTTGCTGCCTGATCTAGCCCCCATCTCTCCTAAGATGTTAGGAGAGACTCAGAAGAACTCCAGGAGCCCATCATGAATAACAAGAACATTCCTATTGCTAGATAAGCCAGTTCCACTTCTCACTCTTCACTTGTTTCCTCAAGAAATCAAATTTAGTTGCCCCAGCTTGGGTCCAGAATCCACTCTTGGTTTAATAAACCAGAGACCCAAAGAACAGAATTAGAGTTCCTAAGCTAAGCCAGTAAAGGGAATATTTTGTAAAGGAAAGGCAGGGAGACTCATCACCTCCCCATAGATGTCTACAAGGCCCTGATTAGGACCCAGAATACCTGAGTTCTAATCCTAGTTATTTCCTCAGAAAAGCTCAACTTATGTATTACTAATAGAAGAATCAAACATATCTTTATAATACTGTCCGAGTTGAAACAAGCACTCTGTGTCAGAAATGTGATAAAGAAGCCTGTGGAGGGTGGAACTTTGTATGAGACAACGTATTTCATTAAAATTACATCATCTTTTCAAGTAATTGAACCCTTCTTCAATCTTGCCAAAGCAATACCAAGAATGTATTGACTATGTGAAGTTCAGATATTCAGCTTTATAAAATAGCTTAGGAAAATTTATATAAAGAAAACACCTAGGGCCGGGGATTTAGCTCAGCGGTTCGGTGGCCTGCCTTGCAAGCACAAGGACCCGAGTTCGATCCCCGGTACCAAAAAAAAGAAAAACGAAAACACCTATCACTCTGAGAATGCTAAATTAAAAATAGCTGAACATGCAAGGAAAAAAGATTGGGTATGATTCAAATAGGGAGATAAATTGTATGTAATTTTGTAATAAAAAGAAAGAAAGCTGAATTTGTGAGATGGCATAGTCCAACCTGAATATACAGGGGCAAATTAAATTACAAAAGTGGAGAAATCCCACCAAATTACTAATACTGTGGACACGAAATCTTAATGCTTTTCACTCTTGTGAATCATTCATTCTACAAAAACTGCTGTTCGTGATCAGTTTGTAAAGTGAGTTGATTTGAGGAATTGTTTAGAAGCAGTTGGACAAAAAATGTTCAGAATGTTCAGAATCTAGTTATGAATCCATAACTTCCA